GGTCACCGGGCCGTGTCCGTTCCCTGCAGGCCAGCATGGTGCACTCCTTGATCGGCGCCTACTCGCTGCTGGAGCACATGAGGTAAGGAGGGGAGGGACGGTGGGGGGCGTGGGGTTGCCCCCCCCGGGCAGAGGGTGAGGGGCCTGGGGTGTGTGTGTGTTTGGGGGGGGTGAGGGATGGCTTTTCAGGGGACCCCCGTGGAGGCCTCCCTCCGGGGTTCTGCCCAGGGACCTCTGGGTTTCCTTCCACCCCCCAAGGGCCTCTCGCTCAGGGGAGCCCTGGCAGGCCGGGCGCCGGCCGTGAAGGCACAGAATGATGTGCTCTGTGGGAACTCTCAAAACGTGCAGAAAATGGGAGCGCAGGGCAGGCTTCCTCTGCTGTGAACAAGAGAAAGGGGCCCCAGGACTGGAGAGGGGGCGTGGAGTGGGGGTTGGGGAGAGAGCGCCAGCCCCTGACCCCCCCCATTGTCTCCCTCCTCACTTTGGTGGGGGGGGCACCCGCAGCATCCCACCGGCCGGGGCTGGGCCTGGCTCAACCCTCTTGGGACTTCACCCTCTTCCTAGGGTCGTCAAGCCTAAAGTGGCTTCGATGGAGGAGATGGCCAGCTTCCATACAGACGCCTACTTGCAGCATCTGCAGAAGGTCAGTGAGGAAGGCGATGACGACCATCCGGAATCCGTGGAGTACGGACTAGGTGAGGAGAGAGCCCCTCGGGGCTTTTTCTGGCAGCGGTTGCATCCCAGCTGACCCGCCAGAGTAGCCAGCTGGAAGCCTGCCCGCTCTGGGTGCCGGTGGTGCTGGCTTTCGTTTATGTGCAGGGGGAATCCTTCCTGGATTCTGGCATCCTCCATAGCCCCCCCCTCCCTCTGTCTGCCTGTGGTCTCCCCAGGTTACGACTGTCCGGCCACTGAAGGCATCTTCGACTACGCAGCTGCAGTGGGAGGGGCCACCATCACCGCCGCCCAGTGCCTGCTGGATGGCAAGTGCCAAGTAGCCATCAACTGGTCCGGGGGCTGGCATCACGCGAAGAAGTAAATGACCCACTTCTTTCCCCTCCATTCCACTCGGGGTCTTTGTTCTGATGCCCTGTTAGCCATCAGGGTCTGGCCACCCTCAGGGTCTCAGACTGTAAAAGAGGAAAGCCTTGAAAGGGGGGGGAGTGGCAGCGGAGAGGCTGAGGTGGAGGCATACGCAGCCCTGCCAAGAGGCGCCCATGCATTCCCGGCTTGATGTAAGCACAAGAGGGGCCCCTTGCTTTCAGAGGACCCAGTTTTGCACCTGGAACAGTTTCTTTTGCCTGCCTGACAGGGGGGTGAGTGGGGAGCGGGAAGTTGCCTTCTCCCTCCCTGGGTTTCCCTCCTTGCCGGCTGCTGGCTGATTCATTCCTCTGTGCTCATTGCTGAAGAAGCTGCTGCTTGTCTCTGCACCACTTATCTCTATGGCAAGCCTTTCTCTCTGAAATCTACCAGCTCCTCCTAACTGAGCAACGTATGGCCACGTGCTGTTCTTGCTAGGTCTTGGGTTTATCAGTACAAGGGGCTTTGTTTAGGAATTTCTGAAGCTTTGCACTTCACCTGTAATGTTAATTTGCAGAGACGAAGCTTCTGGCTTTTGCTACCTGAATGATGCCGTCCTTGGTATCCTACACCTGCGGCAGAAATTTGATCGTGTCCTCTACGTTGACCTAGATTTGCATCACGGGGATGGTAAGGGGTTTCCCAGTATCCTGCTACCTGGGCCTTGTCTTCTTGTTATTGTTCTTGTGCTGTGCTATCAAGTTGTTTCTGACCTATTGCAACCCTATTGAGGTTTTCAAGGTATATGAGGCATTCAAGGGGTGGTTTACCATTCTTACTTCCCACTGCATTTTTCATGACTGAGTGGGGATTTGAACCCACATCTCCTGAGTTCTAGTCTGTCAGTTTGTCTACTACATCACACTGGCTCCTCTCTTGCTACTCTTCAGTTAATCAGAGTCCTACAAAATAAAACCTCATATCCCACTTTCTGCTGTTGGCATTTCCGCTGTATGTGACAAGGGCTCCCATGTTTTACTGCTTTTGGCCTGGGGCTTTCCTGTCAGACCCACCATGCCTGATCTACGGGGAGGTCAGTATGACCATTGGGATTCTCTTCACTTTTAAGAAAGTGATGTGCCCACCATTCTCCTTGTGGTTCAGGTGGGTTTCTGGAGTGCAGTCATGGATGTTGGTTAGAATTTTGAACACAAGAACAGTGAAGGTGGGAAAGTGCCATTTAAGGGAACATGTAGCTGTTCCAGCTTTTAGGGTATATTCTACATGCATGCATGCAAGCATGCTTACACACTAGTAATCCATTGAGGTTGTTATCTCCCCCACCCATCCTCCCACCTGGGAATTCCCACTCTATACATATTAACATGTCTGACTACCTGCTTCTGGGAAGAGGTAGGGGCTTATAAGTCTTGGCTGTAAATCTTTCCCAGTTTCTGCTTTTCGAAATGGTCCTTCTCAAGCTCTTCTTCCATCAGATGTAGGCAGAGTTTAGACTAGCACTTTCTGGGCAAGAGATGGACATGTGAATGGTTAGTGGCAGGTGGCCCAGCTCAGCATTCTTCTCTTCTGTTACAAGCTGTATACCTTGCCCGAAGGGTTGATGGCCACATCAGTGTGTAGTAATCATCAGCTTTTTCCCCTCTTACCCTATCCAGGTGTAGAAGATGCCTTTAGCTTCACTTCCAAAGTCATGACCGTATCTCTGCACAAATTCTCACCTGGATTTTTCCCTGGCAAGTTATCTATTTACTGTATTGGATTCTGCTTTCTCTAAACCTGCCTATGATTTTGTGTTCTGAGGCTAACCAAACATGCCCTCCCCAGCAGCATCTCTCTGTGGAACAGGAAAAAAAAAACCAAACAAATAAAAAAAGGGGAACCTGGTTGTTCTGTGGAGGCCCCTCCTGCTTTTTACCTTGCCCTGGAGCTTAAAAGGTTCCTCCTTCATACTCAGGAATCTCCTGTGCTATATTTGACAAGTATAAGTTCCAAGCCTTTGTTACTGGGTTCTCCTTGGGTCTGTTATGGACCACCCCACTCACTGCAAAAAAGCTTCCCTAGGTTTTCTTAGAGAGAGAGAGAGAGAGAGAGAGAGAGAGAGAAGGCACCTATAGTAGAAGTGAAGATTCCTCAAAGAGTCCCACATTAACAACTGGACAGTCTAGTGGGTTTTAAAGGTACAGTACTACTTTTCCATAAAGACATAAAAACTAGATATGCTTATTCAACAATAGCATTGCTGTGAAGGTGTACATAAAAGTAATGGGGAAAGCTCATTTTTTTAAAAAAAAAAACACCTTACTATTAGATAAGAAAAAAGTTTGTACTGTATATCTTTTGCATGCATTTGTAAGCCATAGGAACGTGCAGGCGACAGGCAGAGCAAACAGGGCTGGTGCTTTGATGGGTCGCAGGAGGCACAAAACATCCAGCTTGCTTCTCCCTTCTGTATCTTTTTCATGTTTTATTCAGGAACTGGAGATGTGACAGATGTGGGCCTGGGGAAGGGGCGCTACTATAGTGTCAATGTGCCCATCCAGGATGGTATTCAGGACGAGAGATACTACCAGATCTGTGAGGAGTAAGCAATCTTCCCCCAACCGCCCACCCACCGTCCCTGCAGCCCTTTCCAGAAGCGGCTGCATCATGTTTTGTGGCTCAGCGGCCTTGCCCTGCTCCCACCTGCACTCACATGGCCTAGGGATCCACATAGTTTTGCCTGGCAGAGTAAGCCCTCTGTATTTTTCTCACACAGACTGAAATCAAGTGGTCTAGCCCAACTAGAGTAAAAAAGCATTGATTCAGTGGTATTTATATGTGTTACAGTTCAGTTCAGCAGTTGGTTCAGTGGCTCTGCTTTTGTTGTATTGAGGTCACGGAGTCTTGCAGGGAGATGTCTTGGCAGTTTTTTCCCATAGGAGCTGCTAGGATTGGGCGCGAGACCCTGCAGCTTTCCCAGGCCCTGAGTATTCATGCACAAGAGATACGTTTATTTCAGGGCCACCCTATCTGTCCCAGATCGCTTTCTGACTTGGCTGTGCTACCAGGTCTGTTGGGCGTTTTTCCTGAAGTGCCCACAAGGAAGGAGCACCTCCCAGATGCATTGTCTGAGCAAATCCTAGCTTGTTCCTGGAGTTCCAGCTGCTCCCAAACGTAGCCCAAGAACTCTGCACTGTGGCCCTAAGCCTGTCTTGCAGTACTGAAGTCAAAAAGGCCGAGGCTTTGGGGGAGAGGGAGACTCTCTACATACATGTGTGTGCTTTTGTATTTATGTGTGTGCGTGCATCCGTGCATGCTGGGTCTTGAAGAACAAAGCGACCTACAGGCTGCTTTCCTCTCCCTTCCCCCTGACAGGGTGCTGAAGGAGGCGTATGCAGCCTTCAGCCCGGAAGCTGTGGTCCTACAGCTGGGAGCTGACACAATTGCAGGTGACCCTATGTGTTCCTTCAACCTGACACCCGTGGGGATCGGCCGGTGCCTCAGCTACATGCTGCAGTGGCAGCTGCCCACTCTGGTCCTTGGGGGAGGTGAGTGGGTCTGGGCAGAGGGTTTGGCTGGGATGCGTGAGGGCTTGCCGGGGTCAGGAGAGGTCACCACTCAGCAGGAGTTCTCCTCCCCGGTGGTGTCATGTTGCTCCCTGCTTCCATCACATGGCTCCTGCTGGGCAGCTGAACTGGTGAGAAGCTGTTCCATCCACGTTGGCTTCTTCAGGCTCCTGCTCTGGTCCTTTGCCCATTTTACAGAACTTGGCAACTGCAGGAGCCACACATGCCATTCTTTCTCAGGCTGGAAATAAGCATTTGTGGATCTCTGAGGATGCAAAAGGGCCCCCGCTGCTCATGGTGAATACTTGCCATTCACACCCATGTCTCTCTCTCTCTCTCTCTTCCTTTCTTCTCTCTTACAAAATTGGCACACATTCACTCCTGGAGCCAGGGGGCTACCATCTTGCCAATACTGCTCGCTGCTGGACATATTTGACTGGGGTCATTCTGGGGAAAACCTTGTCCTCTGAGATCCCGGATCATGAGGTAAGACTCCTGCAAACCCTTCCGTCTCCTGGCACAGGAGCTGCATCGCTGGTTAACGACTGACTGACTGATTGATTGCACTTATATACTGTACCTCCCATCTAGTGGCAAACTGCTGCTGATCCTGGCCCTTCTGCATCACTTTCCTCCTTGGCTGTACAGAGTGAATGGAGCAACTCCTGGCGCACAGAGACCTTGGGTGTGCAGGCAGGAACTGCTTGGCACAAAACACACCCGGAGGCAGCCACTGTTCCTGAAGTTCCTCCTCCTCCTTGGCTCCTGGTGCTGCGCAGGGGCAGGGACTGCACGGCTGCCGGGACAAAACTCCTTGTCTACATTCAGGACACACTCCCTACTTTTCATGTTTTCAGTACCAGCCCAAAGGGCACTGTTTTGGGGGAAAAGAGAACTGCGTGAAATGGCACAAGGCACTTGCTGTTAATAAAAGACAGTGGAATGAAAGCAGGCGTGCCTCTTTGCAGGGAGCTGCCTTCTCTGTGAGACTCCTGCTCCGTCTAGCTCAGCCCTGTGAGCTCTTGACAGGGAAGGCCGGCTCACCAAGGTTCGAGGCACGCGACTTCCCACTGAATGTGCACACCTGTTTTCATGAGCCTCGCCTGGCCCTTCCTGGAGGTCTCTCAGTGTTCCCTCCTGTTCTCACATTCAGGTGGCAAGTGAGCGTGAACCTGCTAGTTTGTGACTTCAGCTGAGATCCATGTGCTTAGTAGGGGGTGTGGTGGACGTGCATGGCACAGTATTTTGGCCAGTGTCTGTTTCTAAGACTCTCCCACCTTCCTCCTCAGTTCTTCACAGAATATGGTCCTGATTATGTCCTGGAAATCACACCAAGCTGCAGGCCGGATCGCAACGAGCCGCAGAGGATCCGAGAAATTCTCAGCTGTGTAAAAGGCAAGTCCTCTGGAAGTGCAGGTGCCCTCTCACCACCGAGCAAGACATCTGGCCTCCACTTCCTCAGTTGTTAGCCAAGCCAGAGGCCCCAAGTGTGACTGCAGAGTGGGTGGCGCGGGGTGTGTGTGCTGTTGTCAGAGGCCTGATTGCACGAGTGACCCTATCCCTGGGAGGAAAAAGAATACCTCTCGGCACCCCCTTGTTCTCCTGTGGGTCTGTGACTGTTGCCTTTATTTGCAGGGAATCTCAAGTACGTGATGTAGCACCACCCTGGCCTCCAGGCCAAACCTCTCCTGGAACAGAGAGGGTGAGGACAAAGCCATTGGTGGCTGCCTTGAGATTCTGGAAGGAAGCCTCCCAGGAAAACTAGGAACGTTGTCAAGCCTGCTGCTGGCAGCAGATCCCGATGGGCACCCTGCGACCGAGCGACCCCCTGCTGTGTAGTTTCTTGCCCGGGAGGAGGAGGGAAGGTGGCCTTTCCTAGTGTGCTGTCCGTGCTTCGGTTTACTCCTGACTTCTCATCCGTCTTTGCCTGGGACCACGGGGATAGCTTGCTGAGCTCATGGAACGTACCAGTGTAATGGTACGAGCAAGTTTGTCCTTTCTTGAATTGGCTGCAACCAAGAGAAAGAGAGAAGCAGCAGCTGTTTTAGAAACGCTTTGTCTTGAAAAATAAAAGATTTGATATATTTGCTGTCTGGCTGCCTGTGTCTCTGAGTGCATCCATTTGTCTGGCCCTTTCCCTCCTTCTCGGGGTTCCAGGCTTCGCCCTGCCCTGCCCTGCTTGCTTCTGTTGGGTGAGGTTGCTTCGGCTGAGCTAAGCTGCTGTTGGTCATGGGCTCAAGCCTTGTCTCCCTTCTGGACAATTGTTTTTATCGAGGAATACATAAATGCTGTGGAAGATGGAAAGACCCAGAGTCATCCTTCCCCAGGAGTCCCAGAGAGGGTGATGCTGCGTCTTGTGTCAGGGAGTTCCACAGCTGGCTGACTTTGGTGGTGTCCGGAAACTCCTGCCCTTCAGCCTCTTGGGGGAAGAGTAATGGGTCCCTCCTGGGCATCTCATCTCAAGTGCCCTCCCCCATTTCTTAGTCGGGGGTGTGTGAAATGCTGGCCAGAGGGGTGCGATGGGGTTGCAACAGGATTGGGGAGACCTGGGTTCAAGTCCCCAGTGGCGAGACCTCTGGGCCAGTTGCAGTGAGTCAGAAACGCCGCCCGAGCTCCTCCAGGACATCCCAGCGCAGGCAAGCTCCAGACGCTCCGCGACTAGGAGAGCCTCCGGCCGGCAGGTGGCGCTGCGCGCTCCCACCACTGGGCGCTCGCCGGCAGCCCGGATATCCGGCCCGGAGCGGAAGCAGCGTCCTTTTCTCGGCGGAGCGCAGCCATGGTGAGTGGACGACTGGCGGCTCCTCCTGCCTGCCATCCCTCGCCATCCGCGGGGACGCGGCGACCGAGGCGCCCCTTTCCAGGCCCGGAGGAGCC